CCTGCTGAATGCCCCTTCCCCAGCTTGTTTAATGAGTATGCTCCTACTCACTTAGGTTTTTCCAAGGGCTCAGGCTCCTTTCGAGCTTTGCCTACTGGATTCTTCTCAGCTTCTTCTGCTGTGACTAAGTGAAACTCAGCTTCCACTTTGCCCTGGATCAGAGAGATGATACATAAGCATCCAATCCTGGTTTATTATAATTAAATCACAGCAGAACTCAGCTTGTGGAGAAATTATGAAACCAGCTGAGGGTGAAGGAATTTGGTTGAAGAAAATAAGATAAAGTGTTTGCAGATAAAGAGAAAGCACAAAGGAAAATCCAAGCACCAAATTCCTGACTTATGCTCAAGGACCATGAGGAAAGAGAGGTAGTATGTTTTCCTCCAGACCCATAAATATCTTTTCTGCTCCCTAAATTACAACATAATTCATCTCAGCAGACCTGTCTTCTATCTAGCATGCATACCAGCAGAGCTCAACAGCCAAGCTGGAAGCTGTGCTGCTCATTTGGTCAAGGTGCAGTCCATCAATGGGGGGAAATTCAGCCAGTCACAAGTGCTGGAGCAGTTGAGCTGTGGGGTCTCAGCTTGCAAAAAGAAGATGGCTAGAAATGAGATCTGTGTGCAGAAAATGTCGTGTAGACCTAGAGCTCTGTTCAGGCTAAAAGAATAGGGGTCTGACAGGTGGATTCAGAGTCAATTTTCTTCATAGACGGCCAGAAGATGATACTCAGAGCTGTGACAAAAGGGCAACTTTGTTCAGCACGAACTTACTGATAATTCCTAGAATTCAGAAAAGTCAAAATGGAATATAACTGCTCATTTACTACTTGTTTTCATTGTGACAAGTCAATAAAGCTTGTTGAGTGACCAATAAAATATTAGCACTTATAAAGGATCATGCCTGCTACAGCTTGCAGTAGAAATATGTACTCTGAGTTATTTGGATTCTTAGTATCAACTGTAGCTTCTGCTATAGAAGTTAGAGCTTCCTAAATATGGGTTAAATATTTGTTTTTCCCTTGTACTCACAGCAACAAATCTGTTGATAATTCTGTCTATGTTATGTTACAAAGACATTCTCTCTTTTCTTTGTTCATCCAGGTACATTCTTCAGTACTATCTCCACTATAGATTTAATTAGGCCAAAGGGAAAAAAAAAATGAAGATTTTGGAGATTTAAAGATTCCAGTAACAATTAAGAGTGGGTAAATCAAATCAGCTTCATAAAATCTGTGATGAAAAACAGACAAATGGCTTTTCATGTATTTGTTATTTTCCTACCCCATACCTTTGTGGATATCAAAACCTAAAGTGTTAATCTATGGCCAGTGGCTGGGATTCAGCACAGGATGGGGCTGAAAGAAGGATGCAGATAAAAGGGATCAGCGTGGAAAACAAGGGGATCAAGACATGAAAGTGTACTGGGGGAAAGCGAATCAGTTGTACAAGAGTTGAGAAAATTGAGGTAAAGCAGGGATTTGCAGGTGGGGTCCATCCACTTTGGAAAGTATGCAGTCACCTTCAATCAGAAGGAGGTAATGAACTTGAAGATGGCACTTTTTATTAAAGCATTCTTCTTGCTGGAAAGGACAGAAATATGAAGGAAGTGTGAGGTTTACGAAAATCCTTGGAGAGTCAATAAAATTCTACAGAGGGAGGGAGATCTTCCCAAAAAGGGCCAAAGCAGGTGACTTTGTAGAGGGCTATACTACAGGAAGGTAGCTTGTAGCTCTTGGTCTGTGTCCTCACAGGGATCTGGCTGGACCTAAAAAGACTCCAACCACACTAATGCCAGAACTGGGCTGCAGGGATGTGCAGGTTTGGGTCCAAGCTCCTGAAGTGCTCTGTGGCCATGTGAGCACATCAGCTTGGGCTTTCCTTCACTAGCTTACTCTGCTTCTTGCTCTGTTTCATGTAGATATGCCCCAAAGACCATGTGCAGAGTTAAGTATTGGGATGCACTTCATGCCTAGATACATGCACTCCACCTAGGAAACAGAGGAGCAAAGCTGTCTGTCATTTACACTGAGGATCTCTATACTGCTGTAAAAGTACGAAGGAGTCTTAAAGACAGGGAAAATGGAGAAGTTGTGTTAGACACTGAGAATTTCAGTGTAGCTCCACATTATACACAGAAAGCACTACAACATTATGAAGACAAGCTGCAGCAGAAAACTGAGATAAAAGGTTAGGTACACTCTTAATGAGATTTATACCCTGCTGCAAGCTTTGTTACAGTAGAGGTTTCAGGTAAATGAAAATTTGTGTGGCACCACCTATGTTCTTCTTAGGATGATACTTCTAACATAACAAGTCTTGTAGAGTTTGGGGGAAGCTGTCATTGTCCTTTTGCATTCCTTCATATCAATTGTGTATGCCACTAAACCAAAAAAATATTGGCTTAGTGAGCACACTTCAACAGGAAGAGGGGATTGTGTTCTTTCTACTTGAGATGTGTCACTAGTAAGGAGAATAATGGTGGACTCGAAAATCAGCTCCTTCACCCTGGTTGAAGTGAGAAATAAATAGAAAAGAAATAAATAAGCAGGTGAGATTCCTCCCAGGATTTCCTCAGCTGACATAAAGTTGGCTGGAATCATGTGATTTTCCACTCTATGCACCCCATGCTGGGAAATGAACAGTGGAAGAAGCAAAGAAAAAGTACAAGTGTGCTCTGGTTGCCTGGGATTATCTGAACCAAATCTATGGGGGACCACTGAAGCATTCGGGGAGTCGTATGCATTGCCAGTGGTGGTTGTTCTTCAGATGCCACATCCAAAATTGGCACCTGTCTGCCTCAGGATCTCAGCAGAGTGTATCAGCCCTAGAGAAAAGCTGTTCATCTGTAGTGAGCTGCCTACCGTGAGCTCCCCAGCCTTGATGAAAGGCCACCAGCCTCTGACACGCTTCTGCTGAAATATGGAGATCTTGTTTTCTTCACTTGCTGCCACAACCATGCCTAGGTCACAGCTCTTGGCTGTCTTTGCTGCTCGGGGGAACCCATTCAGGTTCAATTCAAGAGTGCCTGGAGGGAGAAGTAATGTTACAACACTCAGAGACCAGACAGATATGAACACATTCAAACAGCAGCTTCCAGGTACATGGAGCAATGCAGCAGCTTGGGCCCAAGCTCCATAGCTGCGGATCTCTCTGTCCGATAAGCCATTCATTTGTATTGCCCTGGCATTGTCTCATCTGAGTTCCTAACTGGTCCCTCTCCAAGAAATGTGTAAGTTTGCAATGTGGTACTTCAACAAGCAAAAGTTTGGTCTCAAACACTTCTTTGCACAATACCTCTATAAAATACAGGTCTGGCAAGACCTCAGGTGAAGTTCAGACAGATCCATTGCATACTTACCCAAGAAATCATCTGAAGAGAGTCTTTCAAAGTCCCACACCTGAAGCACCAGTTCAGCCGGTACTTTGCGCTCTGTCTTTTCCAAGGAAAATATGTTTTCTCTTTTACTAACCACCATTTGTTTCTCTGCTGGGAGATAGTAGAACGGGAACACAAAGCGCCAGTTGAAGTTGCCCTCTCCTGTCAAGGAGTTGTAATGTACATCTGTCTCCTGCTTGTCCTCTTCCAGGCCCTTTATCCACCTGTGGCAAGCACATAGTAGAATACACTGCTGTCACTGGGGGAGCTGGAGTTGTGGTTGTCATTATTCAGTTACAGCATGATAATTTACTAATTTGTCCCTAACCAGTACAAGGTAACACACTGTTCAGGACTGCAACGCACAGTGACAGCCCTGGCTCAAGGATCTCAGCTACCTCCGAGCCATGGCACAGGCTGCAGCAGTGGCCAGTGATGATCAAAATTTGAGAGTGAAAATGTGATTTTTATTTAGATCAGACCCCAAAATACCAGTTGGCCATTTACTGTTGGCCAAGACATCTGTCTTGTTTGGAACCAGCAAAGACAGCATCATTCATTTATCCACTACTAATCACCCTGTATTCATGTTGTGTCACACTAATAAACTCCGTGTCAATGTCCCAAGACTGATTTAAGTGCTCGGTGTTAGGGTCTAAAGCGTTCACGGTTGTAGTTTGGGGGTATAAATATGCCATAAATAAATAAACCAGTGTCCCTGTTTTTTCTTGTGATTTCCTCTTGGTTTTTGCTACAGTGTGCACAACATCTGATGTGCAATGCTATGTTATAAAAGGACAAAGCTTTCCCAAACATAATCATCTCTTCTGAAGAGCTCCACTGAGGTAATGATCCATCTAGGTATATTTTAGTTCGGAAGATGACTTATCACAGCTTGAGTAAAGATTAGCATTTTTGCACTGCATCTGAGGAGTGGCTTTTACCCTGCAAAGCCCCATTATTTCAAAAAGGAATTGAGAAAAACGGTAACAATTCCAAGCATGGCACTGCCTCCAGTGCAAATTCATGCCTGGTGACAGATTCAGTGCCACGTGCACTGTCTGAACATAAAGAGATTTGTGTCTTCATCATTAAGGCACAGAAGCAAAAAGTTATCCACTCTGGCTCTCCCTGTCAGACCACTTTGGCATTGATAGTGATGTCCTCATGTTATCACACAGCTCAGCACAAAGGCTGGCTCCCTATTTATTTCCTCAATTTTATGCTCTCAGAGCTACTCTGCTACTGCTCAGAACATGTTAGTTTATTGCCAAGTTGGATATATCTGTGTGAATACCAGTGATTTTAGAGTAGCTCCTGCAAGGGGAGGCTTGCTCTGCATCTGTGTAAGCTCTTAGAGTTGAAGTTCTGTAAGTGTTTGATCTCTGCTAAACTGTGGGCTTGGTTCTCTTCTTGTGTAATCTCTGCCTGAGCAGGAAGTAATGACTAGTGTCATTTTAAAGTTACGTGATTTTAAGTTGGGGGGGAAGCAGCAGTATCCAATATAGATGAGTAATTGGGCAGGCATTTAGAGCAAAGTGCCAAGGTCACAGAAATAGCTTATTGGATATTCTCACAACCTAATATTTTCATCTGATTTTTGAATGAAATATTACATTATTTTGAAGACAAGTCTTGAAGAACTTACCCTTTTACATAGATATCACTTGATTTTTGCCCTGTAAAGATATTTTCATCTTCTAGAATTACATCCTCTGTATTCCAGATTATTACCCTCAGTTCATAGCTGAAAGAGAAAAGAAAGTAGGCCTGTGTATACTCAAGCTCTGGTCAGACACTAATGTAAACCTCTATCAAATCATACTTTTATAAAGTGAGAAATGTTGCATTGGTGCAAAACTCTTAAAATAGCATCAGCCTCAGGCCTCTTCTGTTTACAAGAGTCTAGTGATAGAGTGGGGATGGTGGCTCTTCTCAGCCCTTGGAGCACGCCGGACAACAGCAGGGTCACTGCCAGCTTCAGAGGAATGGAAAAATCCTTGCTTTTTATGTGCCTGTTCATTTTCAATTCTTTTCACACAAAGTTGATCTGAACAACATCATCAGAGCAGTCTACAAAACAGTGAGCAGCTTGCTAATAAAAACTGGAGCTCCCTGGGAGGTGCTTTTCAGAAGAAATACCTAAAAACTTTGTATTTGGTGCAATCTAGTGCATTAAAAGGGAAGAGAAGCACTGTTTGGAGATACTGTCATTTAAGCAACTGCAATCATCTTTAGAAGCAACAGTAAAAGGGGTTAAAGCTTGCCCATCCTTTCCACTCCCTATCTACAGATATTTATGGTGGCCATTGAAAGTTCTAGAAGCTTGATCTGAATTACAGATGTTGCAGGTGACATAAAAATTTGATACTCAAAAACTTAGGTATGCCTTGAGTCATTGTATGAACTGCAAAAATAAAAAAAAACCAATGTTTGAGAACACCAACATATCGTTTCTCTGATATGACGTGTGTTGTCTTGGAAATAGCCTCAATCTCAGGTGTGAAACAGTTTGCCCCAGAAGTTACCAGACACCTTAGGTCACAGAGCTCTTAAGGAGATGTTGACCATGAAAACAAAGCCTCTGCACTAGCCAAAGAAACCTTCATCTGCAATGCTCCATCAGTTCCTTGTTCAGTTGAAGATCATTAACAAAAAACGTTTTCACAAAGCGTTTGAAGTCTAGAGCCTGTTTTGCTGCAGCAAATATGCATTTCTCAGCAAAATGTGTAACTCATGTTTGCACGTTTACTTTCTTTCTCATAATTAATGGTTTGACAATATTTTTCCCTGCTTCTGTAGACTACAAAAATGGCAGCAACAGTTTGGTTTTGTGGGTATGATTAGTATTAAATCTTTTTGGATTGGAAGATGCATGTTGTTAAGGAGCTTTGCAGAAAGTTCTAGTCTGAAGTAACCAATTGTTACATAGACTTATTTTTGTCAAATCTTTGCTTTTGTGAAAGGAAGAAACAAGTTTTTCTTACATTGTTTCTTGTTCAAACATAAATAATACAGGAATATTACCTGATGCTGCTTCATACATAAAATTGTCAAGAAAGGCCTTGCTAAAATATTGGAATAAAGCTGATACAGGATGGGCTGAGAACTCTGTTGCTCATTTTTGTGTTTCATTTATAAACATTCAATTAGCTTGAAGAACTATGTGTAGTGTTACATATAAATCAGCATAATTATCTGTGTGAAATTTGAGAGAAGGTTGTTCCAAATATATCTCTTCTATCTGTTGCTGCTTTATGAGTTTCTTGATCTTATCTTTGAATGAAGTGCTGGAAATCCAACAGATGTAATACTATTGCATCAGAGTAAACATCTCAACCAGGGTCAAGTAAGTTATCTAGCTGAAAGAGGTAGTGAAACCAGAATTACTTCTTTCAGCTCAACAAGTGAAAGATAACATCAGAATTATTAAGGGACTCTTGCATCTAGCCATCTGCAATCTCTATATGAAAAAGGGATATCTTTCTAAAAGAGGTGTGTGATAGCCCTTGGTGAAAAAAAATCACCAACAGTTCTTTGAGTTGTTTGATGGAGGAGACCAAACTAGATGCTCTCTTTCGACCTGAAGACATGTGAGCCTAAGAAAACTTTTCTCAGGATCACAGAAGTTTGTTATGATAGTTCCTTTTATAGTTCTTTCCAGACACTTAAGAAAGACTCAGACATGAAGGCCACTGTGCTGGGAGGAAAGCATAGAGTATTATTACCCTTTGGGTTTTCTTGGTGAAATGTCCACTGGGGGTCCTGGCAGAGGCATATCATTAGGAAACATGTCAACCCACATCTGTACACGACCCTTGAAAACAAAGAGATAAATATCTCTGTAACCCGATTTTAGAGAGACTTTAAAAGCCTTTAAATGTAGTTCTGACACCCAAAACCATTGCTTGCTCTATAAGCACCAACCAGCTCACTATCCTGTAACTACGATTTCATCTATAAACTTAATACACAATATATTTTTTCATACTCATATTCTATGAATCTCTCAGGAATTTAGTGAAATTGGAACTGAGCTCAAACATTGGCAACTTCAAGGTAAAATCCATACAAAATGGACTTGATGAAAGGAAAAAAAGAACCAAAGCCCAAATACAAGCAGAGTTTGTGTTAACTTAATAAACTAAAGCATTTAAAAGAATGAAAATGTGCAGCCACACATTGTATGATTACTGTGTATTTAGGTAACTGGCTGTATACATACATGTGTGACAATTTTGAGGTTGATACTGTACAGAGTCTCACGTATGGTACAACATTTGGATGCTGTCTCTTGTAATTTTGCAGGTACAAATAGAAACCACAGTAACTGGAGGAAAGGAAAATTGCTCCTGGGTCTACCATCACCACCATCTCTGATCTGCTCTACCTGTTCCATGCCTGGCTTATCCTTATGGTAGAGAGGCCGAGTCTCAATGTGCTCTGGGACCAGTTTGTGTCCAGCTCCAGGGATTTCTTCCCAAGCATGTAAAACCTTTAAGGAGAGATGTTCGTACGATTCAACTGGCTCCTCTGTGGGAAACAGTAAAACAAAAAGAACAAAGAGAGCTGAATTATAATGTTGAATCCCTTGGTAATATGTTCCATTAATTATTAAAGGTGGTCATTAAAAATTTGCTTGAGTTAAAAGGAAGGTTTTATGTATCCCAGCTAAGTAAAGAAGGGTCTTGAAATGCATTTAATTCTTGTAAATAAGGGTACCCACTGGGATAACTAGAAGATTAGCACTTAGGATGTAGTTTTTCTATAAAATAAAGCAAATCATTTCACTATTATGGCAGAATTTTCTAACAGCAAGATGGAAGAAACGTGTGAACTACTCTTTTTACAGAAAATTGCAAATGTGAGTCTTTTTCATGGTTCATGAAAGACAAGGAGACTTGGATTTTGACGGAGCTGACAGTAAATAGGCACTAGGAGTTATATCTACACCTCACTTTGCCTTGTGATGGCAACAGGAAAGACTCCCCTGGAGAACCAACTCACACCTCAGAGGAAGAGGGTTGAAGTCCATAAGCAAGAACATGTCACCTCCTGACCAGCTCAACTTGGCCACTGGAGGAAGGGAGACCCCAGAGAATGACACCTCAAGGAAGGACCAGTGCTAATACTGAAGATAGGGTGGATAGTGGAAAGCAGGGAAAGCCTTTTGAGCTCTTGAGCTTCTCTTTCCTCCATTTTTGTGTGGGCTCCACACAAAAGGAACCCACACTTTTGAAGAGGGATGTCTCCTAGATTAGGAGAGGAGTACCCAAGTGTGAAGAAAGTTAAGACTTCTTTCTGTCAGCAAACAGTTATCACTTTTCCTGCAGTGTTGCTACCTCTGGTAGGACACAAAAGGTTTGTCTGGGATTTAAACAGTAGGTATTAAACCCTTCCTAATGGCTCAGAGAGGGAGGAAGGATGACCCTGTAGTTATGAGTCCTAGTTCCCTCTTGTGCACTGACATGTGTTTGAGATATGATGTATTTCACCTAATTTTAGCCAACTAAAAGCAAGGTCTTTAGCCTGAGCTACTCAGTCAGGCAGCCTCAATAGCAAGGACAGATTGTCCCATGATAACCCATATCCTCTCTCAGGCACCTTTCTAAAGATTGTTTTCACCCTCTGAAGAAGATTATTTCTTCCCATTGGCTAAAGGTAGTCTTAGACTACCTGGGAGTAGCGGTCAGGCAGTTGGAGTAGATGATTGTTGGAGGTCCCTTCCAACTGAACTATACTATTCTATTCTATTCTGTTCTGTTCTATTAAACTTCTATACTCCTAGAGCAAAGTTAAATTATTCTTTCCCTTGCAGTTTAAACCTGGATGTAAGGCCCACAAGAATAATTTTTTCCACCTGTAAAGTGGAAATGGTACTGCTGCCCCTTTTCTGTACTCCTCCATAGCTCAAATCTGTGGTCTTTGTTAGCTTTATAAACCCAAATGATGACCAGCACAGGAACCCAGCAGGAAATAAGAACCCAGATGTACTTGTCAGAGCAGCCATCTGGATCAGGATCATGCAGAAGACTGTATGCTATAAACTATTTGTTTATAACATGTTGAAAAACTTGTGTACATAAGTACTTTGGATTTTGCCATCTGGTTCTGTATTTCCTCGCTTTTGGTTTCCATCATCTTGTCTGATGTTGGTTTGTCTGAAGCTCATTTTAGTGAACCAGAATTTTGATCAAGAGGTCCTGTTGCTGGCAGTCTCACTCAGTCGTCTGCTAGTGAGGAAAATAAACAGCAATACTGAAGTCATAAATCTCTTTCAGGCCAAGAAACCAAAATGTACCAACTCTTCTCCCTTCAACAGTGCTACCTGAGCAGCTTTCCAGTCGAGGTGTGAGCTATATTTTGTAGCTGCCAAGGGGAATTTGCTAAAAGATGAATAAACACAGATAAGGGAGTAGAGATTTCCCTACACTGCCACAGTGTCCATTACTGTCTCCAAGACCAGCTCCTTTTGTTCCCTCTTGAAAGCCTCCATCCTCACACCTCTTTTCCTTATCTTAAGTACAAAAATGAATCATAAAATGGTTTGGGTTGGAAGGAACCTTCACAGATCATCTCGTCCAGCCTGCCTTCCATGGGCAGGGACATCTTTCACTGATAGCTCTGTCCCACTCCACTCCTATGTGATATGGACACTCAAATTCCTGGTAGCTCTGCCCTCTTTTTAATCTGGGAGCTCTGAAAGTAAGTTCTGTGCTGCTCTCCGGATTCATGGGCCCCACAGATACCTGGAATTACACAGCACTGTGTTAGTGCTTCAGAAGAGCAGTCAGAGTGGTAATAATCAAGAAGAGGAAGAAAACAACAGAGAGGAAAGCCAAGCAGGTAAGGTAGGACTGGCAGGTAAGTGGCCTGGAACATAACTGTGGTCAAACAGAGGATGTGTCTGACCTTGAGTAACTCACTTCACATCTGTATTTCCCTTCCCCCATCTTCTCACTTCTTGGGTCTGTCTGCACTAGTGTTTTAGTTTAGACAGGGAATGAATTTTTGAAAAGACTCTCCCTGACTTCCCAAACTTTGATTTGCTCTGTGGTAGGATCTCAGAGCATGCAAGCTGCACTCCTTTCAGATGAAACTAAGCCAGAAGATGTGTTCCAAGAGGATCTCCTGCACTCCAACCAATCCTGGCCATCCCATCCTTGGGATCAGGCAGGACCTAGTCCAAAGTATCCCCCAACACCTACCATGGGGATGTCAGGTCATCAGCAATAACTGTCTCAGCCTACAGATTGTCTGCAATTAAGCTACAGCAATAGCTAATATAGACACAGCCTTCATCATCACAGTTACATGAGTATTTCAAAGCAGAGACAGGTTCTAGTAATCTGACTTTAGAGTGCACAGCACAATGGGACCCCAGTTATACAGCTTGGGCAGGCTCTTGGTACTGCTACAATGCAGTTGAAGAATGATGTACTACTTCATTACCGTTCTCATCTTCTGTGAAGACTGTCTGTCCCTTAAAGACTTTTGTTCCTACTTGTAGCTCCCCTGGCCGCATGAAGGGTCCATTTATTCCGTAGTCCTTACACAGCTTAGTGAGGATCTCGCTTGGCTTGGTTGCATCGCGCCACGCATTGTACCCATCTCTGCAAGGAGGGAACAGAGACTGAAGAGAAATGGGTGAGGTTTTCTTTCAGCAAAGTGCACTGGCAAATCAGGACTTCTCATGCAAAGATTTGCTTCATGGTCAGTGGCCCTGACATCTGCTCAGCCAAATTTTTCCTTTGAATTGTCCAGCACAACTTCTTACTTGAGACACCCACTCTGTCTGCTCAGGTCCTGGGCCAAACCACTCATTTCTCTTAAAACACAGGAGAAGTTGAGGCAGCCTTATCTACAGCTTAGATAAAGTAGCCCAGGCATTGGTATGCTCCCCAAGAGGAGAAGGACCAGAGCTCGTTCCCAGTTCTACCTAAAGGATTCAAGTCTACATGTTCTACCTCCATTTAAGGAGAATTGTTCTGCAGCTCCCACATGCAGAGGAGAAGGCAAGATTATCTGGGACCTGGAACAAGCACATACAGAAATACCTTACACTGGAGACTGAGCTGGCAAGGGAGGTCTGTGCTCCTGGATTGCTTTTTTACATTGTCCACCCTTTGTTTGTAGATAAAATAGAGAAACTATCATAGGAGAAGAACTCCAAACCCACATCTCCCAGGTTAGTGCCCCACCCAAGGCAATGGAGTTATTTTAGTTTTACTTTCTCTGCATTAATTAATCTTTGTGTGCAACGTCCTTGAGAGGGCAGCTGGATGAGGGGGACCGGGAGCTAACACCACCGCCCTGTGACTCACCTCTGTTACAGAGGCCATGCCAGCAGCCCTGCTCTGCTCCCGCTCCCCCCAGTGCCACGCCAGTCCCACCGGCCTTGCTGCAATCACTCCCGTTGCAGCTGAATAATGGAGAGCAGAGTAGAACCCTGTCATAACTTCTCTAACAGGTTTTTTCCGTTTACCCTTTATGCCTATCCAAAGGCAGTTTATCAAGCTGGTATGTTATACATAGGCTGTTTACTATCTAAAATACTTGGTGAACAAACAGTGTTGTTAATTTTAAAATATCCACTTCTTACTGAGACTGGCAGCTACCCAAAGCCACTGTTAATCTCTCCGGTGAATTTTAATTAAAACACCCCCTGAGACACTTTTGTGCTGGAGAAAGCATAATATTTAGCCACATCTGGAACTTCTCCTTCAAGTCAAGTCATTCACTGTGTGTTCTGTTGCTGTCTGCAGAGGTACTTACATTTCATATTGACTTTGTAACCCACAGGTAGCTCGATGCCTGCTGTAGAAACGATTTTCCAAATCAATTTTAGTCTCTCCAATGAGATCATCTGTTCCCACGAAGTCATGGTCATAGATCAGGACTGTGAGCGAGGAATCCTTGGGGAATGTGGCTTGGATTTCAAATGATCTACAGCAAAAATTGAGACATACGTACAGTCAAATCAGTTTTGAAGCCTAAAAGACTAAGTTAATGAATACTGTGCAAGCAACATGTGGACAGTATCTCTTCTAATAAGCAGTGGGTTTTTTTTGGTAGTGTTTTTTGTTTCAATGAAATATCTGAACATACTGGAAACACACAGTGCAAAGTATTTTCTTTCTCCTGCTTCCCTACCACCCCCTGTACAGTTCTAAGATTGTTCCTACCTACAGTTAACAGAGCAATGGGACAGAGCTGGTCAGCTGCAATGATTTATCCTGAATCCAATAGAGGTGGAAGTATGGAAATTACAAGGCTAATGAAACTGTATGTGAGAGTTCTCATATGCTTTTCAGAACCCCCAAAAGGGACATCCGAGTCTTTTCTGTTTTCTTCCAAAAGCGCCAGGTTAAATATTGAATATAGGAATCTGGGGACACCCAACAAAATGGTCAGGCAAAAGCTTTAAACAAGTCTCAAAAAAGCAAAGATCAGAACTTCCTTTTCACTCAGTGCATTTTTCAGGGACTGGAATTATTGTTGTTGAGATGTTTAGGGAAGCTGAAAATATAAAAGTGATTTTAAAAGGGATTTGTCAAATTAGTGGAAGACAGGACATCCTCATCAGCACAACACTGGCTCCAGATTTCTCCAAAGCACAGGCAAAACTTAACTTTATCTCCTGAAGGATCAGTTTTGTCCTTTTTCTCAAAGTGGCCAAAGTCAATTTTGTAGCAACAGCAGAACAGTTTCGGGAGGAGAGAGAGGTTTGGGAACGGTCTGGGATTGCTGGAGGTTGGTGGTGCCATGCTGACCAGGGCTTCTAGGATGATGAGAGCTAGTTACCATGACTGATGCTACTGCTGCAGAGTTGCTGCTCCAGTCACCCCAGTGTTGACGCTGGCAGCAGCAGCAAGGACTATCCAAATGAATGGCTCATTCCTAACCTTGTCTCAAACACACATAGTGGCAATTTCCCATTCCATCTATATGCATCTATAATGACTGTGCTTTACGGTTTATCATAATGATGGTTCAGTTGCAACCTCTACTAAGGAAGAGCTTAAATCACAGACACTGAGATGGCATGCAGTGGAGGGACAACTCTGTTACTGTCTTTTCTCCTTACACTTTTCTTTAAGTCTCTACTTTTGCAGACAGCACCCTGGCTTAGGGGGCTTTCAGTCCAATGCAGTATAGTTTCTCTGTCTTAATGTTCTTACAGAATAACTCCATCCCAATTCAAAACATTTTCAACCTTCTTAAAACAGGGAAACTTACTGGTAAAAAATCACAGCTATTAGCATTAATAATAAATAAGTATAAAGCGTTGATAATACAAAGTTGATGTTTACTGACAGCTTTCCCCTGGTTCCCCCATTCAGAAGACTGTGTGGCCTCAAAAAACTAGGTTTTTTGGTCCTAGGCCTAAAATTATGAGCTTTATTTGGCACTCTGTTCAACCTGAAATAGCAACAAATATTGTGAAATCACACTTTACTGTGCTGATACTTATTTCACTTTAAAGTTAACAATTGCATTAATTTGCACAGACAAGATCATTTGTTGCCTCATTTCCTCTCATGCATCATTTTGCAAAACTTCTCACAGATTGCATTCCGTGATGTGTTTTGACTGTTGTGAAAATGAAATCATTTATAATCATACAGGGTAACACCAATTCTTTAACCAGTAGAATTACAAAACATCCAACCAGGCAGAAATCAGCATATAACAAACACTTTGTAACAGCAATAGTAGTGACAAGTGATAAAGCAGAAAACACCCCTGAGTAAGAAAATAAGCCATCACTGACCTTCCAAATACTGGGTTTAGCTGCTTGGGGATGTAGTTTTCCCTGTCTTTAATTTCCGTGTTGCCCAATCTCAGCACAATGTAGGGATCTGACTTGCCATCTGGGTCAGCTGGGCTGAGGTTAAACGCCTGTTAGGAAGAAAGGCTTGTGTCCTCAAGAAGCTTGCTTAAATGCAGCATGGTCATGACACAGGACTGTGGGTTTCCTACCCAGTCCTGGATGTTCTGGAAGTGCAGGGGCTTTGCTTGCCTTGTATAATACAAAATTTAGCATTTAGCTTTGCAGGCCATTGGGAAAAGATGATCTGGAGGAGAAGAGAGTTTGCAAAGGTGGAGCAGATGTAACTGCTGTCCCACCACTAAGGTGGAAAAAAGAGATAAGCAGGACAAGCAACGCTGAGGAAGAAGCTGGCTGCACAAGTGCATGTAGGATTCAGGAAAGGTATTGGTCCAGATCCTTGAACAGTGCAAAACAACTCTTCAGACTGTATTTACAAGATGGCTTGGAAGTCTGTATATTCAGGAAATAAAGCAACCTCTTTCTATTCTTCTGTTTTGTTTGCCATTGTCTCTTTGCATGCCATCCTTTCCCTCTTAGATCACCTGCAACTCTCTTGTTTCTCTGAAATACCAGCTCCTTCTACCCCTTTCACTTCTCACATCATGTTCCTTCATCACCTTGTCCCCTATATTTCTATCTCTTTCTCCACCCCATAAGTTATTCACAACATCTACCACTTTGATTACATGTAATTCATAGCACTCAAAAAATATGCTCCCATTTCCCTCTTACTGAGAAGGCTTTGTTTAAATGTGTGTCATTTTGAAATAACTCTGCTGATTAAAAGTGGCTTCATTTGCATAATGTGGCTGGAACAGGTTGTCCATACTATGTTAGCTATGTCTCTAGCCCTTTCAGTTTGAACACATAAAGTGATTCTCCAGTCCTGTGATTTATCATGAGGAATATGTAACATTTTCTACTCTGAACACCCATTTCTACAACATGAAGCATTGTCTGAAGTATGACCAAAAAAAAATTCTACCACATGGATGAGGATTTTCAGAAGCTTCACCACAAAGACACGGGAGGTAAAACTGAGTTGAAGAGAAACATCCGAGTTATTTCAATGTTGAAAGAACATCTGTCTACTTACTGCCACAATATAAACCCTGATGAGGACTTTGACGGGGTGGTTTGGTGGTATCCCTTGCAGGATGCGGGGCTGCCCTCTGTCCAGCAAGCTGCCATCCTCAGGACTTGGGTATATGCAGAAGGAGCCCTGGTAATAAACTGTCTTTTATCTCCCTCGAAAACAGACCAAGTGCAATACAAAACCAACCCTTTGAATGCAAATAAAACATCGTTCATACAGCCTGTGCTGCAGCACATACATATACACAACACATTTTGTGGTACCACTCAAAGGGAACACAGACTTCAGTGCAATAAACACCAGCTTTTAAAATGTCTTTGCTCTATAATATGGTACTATCATCACATCTAGATGATTGCAAGAAGTACTTGCATGCTTTTAGCTCTCTATTTTATTATTTAAAGGATTAACACCTGCAGGTGTTTTAAATCTAGTTTTCTTAGTATTGATACTCTAAAAATAATATTTTGCCCTTAACTGTATATTTGCAAATTGATAATTCCACTGAATTGGTTTCACAACAGTGTGACTGGAATCCAACTGCATTTTTGCAGCCACTATATACAACTCATATAAATCAATATTGACTCATGCTGCTAAATGGCTCATACTGCCTGAAAGCAACTAGCACGTCACTTGAACAGAAATTTGCATTGCAAACTAATTGAGGTATCAATGAATTTAATCAGTTTCTATAAAGTACAAAGTGCTTGAAATCTGACTAACATTATTCATCCTTTGAAATACATTTTCAGATTGCCTAATGGTGCCCTGGATCAGGCTGTGCAGTTGTTTCTAACTGGAGTAAGTGTAAGGGCCTCCATTTAAATTACTGAAAATTACATGTAAGGTGCTCTAACTTATAGTGCAGTAATAAAGTTGCATTAACAGAATCTGGACTACATAATATATCTCTTCTTCCCCTGCTGTGATTTGAAACTTTTTTGTAATTCGTTGTTTCAAAACAACAGTGAACACCTGGTGCTGGATGCTGCTTTCATCTATCAGATAACGGGAAAGGAAAAACATTACTCTAGATGCAAAAAGAGAGATAACTATTTACAACAGACTGTCAATGTCTTTTTCTTTCATCTTTGGTATACCTGAAATATGCATGAAAACATAAAGTCTCTAAATTATTACCCATTTAATCAACATTGAAGCTCACCTTAAATTTTCCTATTATTCTGTCTTCAGAGTCAGCATGAACTTCATCATTAGATTTTCCTCTTAAGAGCTGGAAAGTTTTCACCCAGTCCTCAAAGTTATTAAATTCGCTCTCCAAGTCTCCTTCATAAATCTTTGAAAATAGGAGAATGCTTATTTTTTGTGGTGCAGTGAATATATTTATAGCAACTTTCTTATTACAGAAATCCATTTTGACTCAAAATACAGATTTTAATAAAACCAAGGGTTTGCAAAAGTCCTTGAGGAAAAAAAAAGCTAATTCCCCACTTAAAACATGAACAGTTTTTTCTTTAACCAAAGTCCTTTCCAACTACTGGAATAGCACATTAATGCAGCAGGTAGAAGTGGCTCTGAAGGGCCAGAATGAACATTTATAAGCACAGTGTGGATGTGCTGCTCTTTGCTTCCGTTTCCTCTCTGCAAAGTGCCTTTGAGGTACTGACCCATTCTGTTAATGTTAATGTGTCAGAACATGAGAGCAAAGCACACACTAATAAAGTGCTGTGGGGACAGAGCTTTAGGAAAGGTAAAAAGACCAAATCATTTTTAAAAGAATTATTTTTTTTCTTTCAACACCCTCCCCCTGTAATTTATGAAGTGTTATTCAGTGTGAAATAGAAGGGCCTAGACTAGTGTCATCTCTTAAAAAATGGAAACAGCAGTTTCAAATTCCCCTTTATTCAGCTGCAATCTAATCCAAACAGTCCTCATCTTTTCAGCCTCCTCATCTCTCCATTCATTTTGCATGACCCATATAGTTTTCTTTGAATTGCTTCTGTCGTTACGCAACCAAATCTAATGCGAGCTGAATATTACCTCCCCACCAGGGGAGGATGCACTAGCAATTGTAGCAATGCTTTCCATACTCTTTTTTTAAGTCATTCTTAATAGGCTGTAATATTTCTAACATGAATTTGGAATTTCCAAATTCAGTTTTACAGGTGAACAACAAAACTGAATTTTCACTTAAGTCTCTCTGGGTGTGTCTATACTGGTAAATTAAAGGTCTAAGGCCAAGTGGGCCACATCCACCCTACGAGACCCTGGTTTCTTCTGGGCCCCATGTGCTGATATGCATTGTCACTATCATTTTGTGTGTTTTATTCATTTCAAAGTGTCTGAAATAAATGTAAGGAGGGTATCGCTGCACTCAGCTTTCAGGAGATAGTGAATAACAGCTTTACCCCTCAGCCTTACTTCTCTCTTACCTGCAGTGTTGCTAGGTTTGGAGTTTCTTTCTGTTTCCTTTTCAATGTCTTATCCTTCTTCTTTTTGTCTGGATCCTCTTCTATGATCAATGCAATGTGGTCAGAAGTCTGCTTATCTGCAGAAATTTCATGACATCATGCAGGTTTTTAGTGAGCAAAGCACATCAAATGTTTCAGATAAGGATGCAAAATACATTTTGAAAATTCCTCCTTGCTCCTTCTCCATTCATTCTTCTACTGCCAAGCATAGGGTCCTTTCTTTTCCCACTGCTCATCCCAAGCAGAGAGATAGTATTTTATCCTCTCTGCGGCTAACAGTCTTCATGATGAGCTTGGTGGACCAAGTGTGATGGTGTCCTGCCTCATTCCTTCCCTGCTGGCCACCTCCCAGAACACCATTTTTCTTCCTTTCTGACTCCTTCCAGATACGAACTAACAGATCTTAACAGCTTTCACATAAAATTTAAGGCTTTTTTAAAAACTGGAAGCTGCTATTTAGGCTGACTGGTACTTCAGATATCAGGTGATCCAAGTACTTCTCTGCTCAAAGGCATCACAAAATAGAGTATATCTGACCTTGGGAAAGCTTGGAAGTATGAGAAAGGGCAGGAGGTATCTGACCAGCCTCAAGCCAGAATCCAAACACTGAGAGGGTACTTCCCAACAACAAATAGAGGGTGAGCCCTCAAAAATGGCACTGAGATGGTTCAGTTCTTTAGCTGAAATCCGGATTTTGAGTTCACTTTACTTTCATTTTTTCAGTAGTTCATGTGTGTTTGATATCACTAAATATTTAGAAATATATACATGTATATATTATATCAGTGCTGTCCTGTATGTATAATGCTTATCATCATAAGTGAAAATATGTAACAAAAACTATCAGAAGAGAATTTACAAGATTTGAAGTCATCAGTCAAAACCAATGTGAGCAGTTGCCTGAATAGCGTGTGGGTGGATGTCACAGTATCAAGTAAATTTCTAATTGTAAGTGAACATCACACCTTTGTAGAACATTTTCTATCTAAATATTTCCTCCATGTGGACAAGTGAGTTTCACTGAGACACTGATCTCCATCTGATCTCTCAGCAGCCCTGACAATCACTGAAACACCATCAGCTGCTATTTCCAGAATGACACCATCTGACAGCAGTGTACCCAGGTGGCCAAGAAGGCCAACAGCATCCTGGCTTGTAGCAGGAATAGTGTGGCCAGCAGGAGCAGGGAGGTGATTGTCCCCCTGTACTCAGTGCTGGTGAGGCCACACCTCGAATACTGTGTCCAGTTTTGGGCCCCTCAATACAAGAAAGACATTGAGGTGCTGGAGCGTGTCCAGAGAAGGGCAACAAGGCTGGTGAAGGGTCTGGAGCACAGGCCTTATGAGGAGCGGCTGAGGGAACTGGGGTTGTTTATCCTGGAGAAGAGGAGGCTGAGGGGAGACCTTACTGCTCTCTACAACTCCCTGAAAGGAGGTTGTAGTGAGGTGGGTGTTGGTCTCTTCTCCCAAGTAGCTAGCAATAAGACGAGAGGAAATGAGCTCAAGCTGCACCGGGGGGGG